GCATAACCCAGCAGGAGAAGAGAAATAATCAAGATCAGAGCAGAAATCAATGAACTAGAAACCAAAAGAACAGAACAGATCAACGAAACTAGGAGCTGGTTCTTTGAAAGAATTAACAAGATTGATAAACCCCTGGCCAGACTTATCAGAAAGAAAAGAGAAATGACCCAAATCAACAAAATCATGAAAAAGAGGAGAGATCACAACCAACATCAAAGAAATACAAACAATTATAAGAACATATTATGAGCAAGTCTATGCCAGCAAATTAGATAACCTGGAAGAAATGGATGCATTCCTAGAGATGTATCAACTACCAAAATTGAACCAGGAAGATATAGAAAACCTGAACGGACCTATAACCACTAAGGAAATTGAAGCAGTCATCAAAAATCTCCCAACAAACAAAAGCCCAGGGCCAGATGGCTTCCCAGGGGAATTCTACCAAACATTTCAAGAAAAATTAATACCTAGTCTCCTGAAACTGTTCCAAAAAATAGAAATGGAACGAAAACTTCCAAACTCGTTTTTTTTAATTTTTTTTAAAGATTTTATTTATTTATTTGATAGAGAGCGAGAGAGCACAAACAGGGGGAGCAGTAGAGGGAGAGGGAGAAGCAGTCTCCCCGCGGAGCAGGTAGCCCAATGCGGGGCTCGATCCCAGGACCCTGGGATCATGACCTGAGCCGAAGGCAGATGCTTAACCATCTGAGCCACCCAGGCACCCCCCAAACTCGTTTTATGAGGCCACCATTACCTTGATCCCAAAACCAGACAAAGACCGCATCCAAAAGGAGAATTACAGACCAATATCCTTGATGAACATGGATGCAAAAATTCTCACCAAAATACTAGCCAATAGGATCCAACAGTACACTATAAGGATTATTCACCATGGCCAAGTGGGATTTATCCCTGGACTGCAAGGTTGGTTGAACATCCGCAAATCAATCAACGTGATACCATATATTAACAAAAGAAAGAACAAGAATTATAAGACCCTCTCAAGAGATGTAGAAAAAGCATTTGACAAAGTACAGCATCCTTTCTTGATCAAAACTCTTCAGAGTATAGGGATAGAGGGTACATACCTCAATATCATAAAAGCCATCTATGAAAAACCTACAGCAAATATCATTCTCAATGGGGAAAAGCTGAGAGCTTTCCCCCTGAGGTCAGGAACGCGGCAGGGATGTCCACTCTCACCACTGCTATTCAACAGAGTATTAGAAGTCCTAGCCACAGCAATCAGACAACAAAAAGAAATCAAAGGCATCCAAATCGGCAAAGAGGAAGTCAAACTCTCACTCTTTGCAGATGATATGATACTGTATGTGGAAAACCCAAAAGACTCCACCCCAAAACTGCTAGAACTCATACAGGAATTCAGTCAAGTGGCAGGATATAAAATCAATGCAAAGAAATCAGTTGCATTTCTATACACCAACAACAAGACAGAAGAGAGACAAATTAAGGAGTCGATCTCATTTACAATGGCACCCAAAACCATAAGATACCTAGGAATAAATTTAACCAAAGAGGCAAAGGATCTGTACTCAGAAAACTATAAAATACTCATGAAAGAAATTGAGGAAGACACAAAGAAATGGAAAAACGTTCCATGCTCATGGATTGGAAGAACCAACATTGTGAAGATGTCAATGCTACCTAGAGCAATCTACACATTCAATGCAATCCCCATCAAAATACCATCCACTTTTGTCAAAGAAATGGAACAAATAATCCGAAAATTTGTATGGAACCAGAAGAGACCCCGAAAAGCCAGAGGAATATTGAAAAAGAAAAGCAAAGCTGGCGGCATCACAATTCCAGACTTCCAGCTATATTACAAAGCTGTCATCATCAAGATGGTATGGTACTGGCACAAAAACAGACACATAGATCAATGGAACAGAATAGAGAGCCCAGAAGTGGACCCTCAACTCTATGGTCAACTCATCTTTGACAAAGTGGGAAAGAATGTCCATTGGAATAAAGACAGTCTCTTCAACAAATGGTGTTGGGAAAATTGGACAGCCACATGCAGAAGAATGAAACTGGACCATTGCCTTACACCACACACAAAAATAGACTCCAAATGGTTGAAAGACCTAAACGTGAGACAGGAGTCCATCAAAATCCTAAAGGAGAACACAGGCAGTAACCTCTTCGACCTCAGCCACAGCATCTTCTTCCTAGAAACATCGCTAAAGGCAAGGGAAGCCAGGGCCAAAATGAACTATTGGGATTTCATCAAGATAAAAAGCTCTTGCACAGCAAAAGAAACAGTCCACAAAACCAAAAGACAACTAACAGAATGGGAGAAAATATTTTCAAATGATATATCAGATAAAGGGCTAGTATCCAAAATCTATAAAGAACTTATCAAACTCAACACCCAAAGAACAAATAATCCAATCAAAAAATGGGCAGAAGACATGCACAGACATTTTTCCAAAGAAGACATCCAAATGGCCAACAGACACATGAAAAAGTGCTCAACATCGTTCGGCATCAGGAAATCCAAATCAACACCTCAATGAGATACCACCTCATACCAGTCAGAATGGCTAAAATTAACAAGTCAGGAAACGACAGATGTTGGTGGGGATGTGGAGAATGGGGAACCCTCCTACAGTGCTGGTGGGAATGCAAGCTGGTGCAACCCCTCTGGAAAACAGTGTGGAGGTTCCTCAAACAGTTGAAAATAGAGCTACCATACGATCCAGCAATTGCACTACTGGGTATTTACCCCAAAGATACAAATGTAGGGATCTGAAGGAGTACGTGCACCCCAATGTTTGTAGCAGCAATGTCCACAATAGCCAAACTGTGGAAAGAGCTAAGATGTCCATCGACAGATGAATGGATAAAGAAGTTGTGGTATATATACACAATGGAATATTATGCAGCCATCAAAAGGAATGAGATCTTGCCATTTGCAACGACGTGGATGGAACTGGACGGTGAGTGAAATAAGTCCATCAGAGAAAGACATGTATCATATGACCTCACTGATATGAGGAATTCTTAATCTCAGGAAACAAATGGAGGGTTGCTGGAGTGGTGAGGGTGTGGGAGGGATGGGGTGGCTGGGTGATAGACATTGGGGAGGGTATGTGCTATGGTGAGCGCTGTGAATTGTGCAAGACTCTTGAATCACTGCTCTGTACCTCTGAAACAATGCAATATATGTTATGAAAAAAAAAAGATAGCAGGAGGGGAAGAATGAAGGGGGGTAAATCGGAGGGGGAGACGAACCATGAGAGACGATGGACTCTGAAAAACAAACTGAGGGTTCTAGCAGGTAGGAGGTTGGTGGGATGAGTTAGCTTGGTGATGGGTATTAAAGAGGGCACGTTCTGTGTGGAGCACTGGGTGTTATGCACAAACAATGAATCATGGAACACTACATCAAAAACTAATGATGTAATGTATGGTGATTAACATAAAAATATAAAAAATAAAGAAAAAAATAATACATGAAGAGAATGGAAATTATATACATAAGAGGATAATACTAATAATGTTTCTAAGAGTCAAGGAACCCCACTAAGTAAAAGGGCATATAATTTGAGATTGCTACCAACCCACTGGTAAACACTGCTCCAAACTATTAGAGGAAACTATTATGAAATCCACTATAAATTCCTGTTAAGTGTGGTGCCTGTGTGTTGTGGTCTGAATGTGTCCTCCCCAAATACAGATGTCGAAATCCTAATCCCCAAGATGATGGTATTCGGAGATGGGGCTTTTAGGAGGAGCTGAGGTCATGAGGGTGGAGCCCTCCTGAATGGGATTAGTGCTCTGATTGAAGAGACCAGACAGGTCTCCATGTGAGGACAGGATGGGAAATCTGCAACCTTAAGAAAGCTCTCACCGGGACCATGGTATCACCATGATCCTGGATTTCCAGCGACCAGAACTGTTAGAAATACATGTCTTTTGTTTATAATCTACCCAGTCTGTGGTGTTTTGTTATAGCAGCCCAAATGGAATGAGATAGTATGTAATTTATGCTAATCTGTCCTTATTATGCAATTCTGATCTAGATTAATGCTATTAAAAATTAAAATATACAGGTAAAAATTTGTATTATAATTTTTAGACATATGTAATTAACTTTTTTATAAGCATTGGTTTTTGATTGATATTGTACTTCATTTTTGGAGATAATTTAAAGGGAAAGCTTTTTCTTGATAATGGAGTCACTAATAGATATTTCACAGTTTGATAAAAATTATTTTTTTATGGGTGACACAATTAATACTTTATTGTTTTAAAAAGTCAGCAAATCATTTCATGGTAATTATAACTAATACTATTCAATTCATAATACTGCTTTTCTTTTAAATTAACATCTATACAATCTCTTCTTAAAAAAACATATTTCTTTTCTTTTTTTTTTTAAAGATTTTATTTATTTATTTGAGAGAGAGAATGAGAGATAGAGAGCACAAGAGGGAAGAGGGTTAGAGGGAGAAGCAGACTCCCTGCTGAGCAGGGAGCCTGATGCGGGACTTGACCCCGGGACTCCAGGATCATGACCTGAGCCGAAGGCAGTCGCTTAACCAACTGAGCCACCCAGGCGCCCAAATATATTTCTTTTCTTAAGTTATGCTCCCATCTATAATTTCTCTGAAAGGTGCATTTAATAAACCTCACTGGTATTTCCCTAAAAGGAAAAGGCAACCTAATCTTGATTTAAAGAAGAGTTTACATTATTTGATTTCAACAGTTCACTGATTATTACAGCTTCATAGACACCGTTATGATAATACATCTTAAAATTTCAACCCTTTGTTCAGGAAAATTTCTAATAAAAGACATAATCTAACAGGGACCATTGCACAATACATTCATTTTACTCTTTTATCCATTGAAGCAAAAAAGGCATAATGCATCCTTCTTTAAAGTCTATTAAATCACATTATGTACTCCTCATTGAGAAAGAGTAATTGAAAGAAATAACAGTAAAGAGGAATTAAATGTGCATTTACCAGTATTAGACATATCCGTAGGGCTATTTTCCAAAGAAGTGATTGGAGTCTGTTCTGTTTTCTTGTATCCAGTTTTTATCTATGAAAGAAAAGAAAGAAAATAAAATGTCATTTTCTAAAGTAGGTCAAAGACCAGACTAGAAGCTCACGTTAACATAAAAAAAATGGTTTAAGAGATTAAAGCAGCGGTCCAAAAAATACGAGATCTCTAAAATTTTGGTATATTTATCTCTATAAACAAAGCATTTCAGAATTAAAGGTAACAACTGCTTTCAGCTCTACCATGTCCAAGGACAATAAAATATAAGGCCATGCACCTTATCTTTGAAAAGGTATTATAACCCCAAATAAAAAAAGTATAAGGGGCTGACAGAAAATCTTACACTCTGTATCTTATTAGCAGGTCCCTGAAACTGAAATTGCCTTTGACGAATTTTATTCCATTGACTGAAAGCCTACCTGAGCTCCTATTTTGTTTCATAGCTAACATAGACTTTAAGAGTATATGCTCTATTTTATAACTTTGATTTGTTAGGGCACTGTAGCAATTAGTAATTAACTGTCGATTTTGATGTAGAAACTGCCCCCTCTGTGTGAGTCTACTGGGGTGAACTATGCACATGTGAGGGAACCATATCCACCTACACCGGCTAATTAGGATTAGCCTCACTGTGCAGGAAAAAAGCTAAAAAACAAAAAGGAAGACTGCCTGTCTTCAGTCAAGCAGGAAACAGAAATAAGAATACATTAAACCATATCAGAGACTTTCTGAAAATAAATATGACATTCCTAACACAGTTTTGAGTGACAACTAGGCATATCTCTGTGAGGCCATTCCTGATCATGACTTTCTGGACAAAAGACACACTGACTTGAAAAACTGTATTATTGATAGCACAGTATAAAAATATTAAACAGAAAAAAAGAACTTTCAAGGAATTACCAATCTGTTAAAAAACTGTACTACCAAAATTATAATTCTATTGTATAAAACAAACATAAAAACAGATAAGGGATTTAGGGACTGCATAACTATACAGAGAAGTATAAGATTACCTGATTGATCCTAAAAGAAGATAAAATGGTATCTGTGGTTTCGGGAGTGGATGAGGTCTTTGGAATTAGTATTTCAGGGGGAGAAGGAAGAAGGCTAAATGTCGAGACTTGAGGTCCATATTCTCCAGAAGCTTGTAAAAAAGATGTACAAGATGGAATTTCTAGATGACTGCCATCAGATTTTTGTCTTATGAATGCTATCTCCCAAGCAGATTCTGACCTAGCATTAAAAAGAAATCACTTTATGGACATAGTGTGGATACAGTGCAACTAAATTTTAAGATAATGTTTCAAATATTATTAAAGTATACTAAATTTAGGGGGTGCCTGGGTGGCTTGGTTGGTTAAGCGTCTGACTCTTGATTTCAGCTCAGGTCACAATCTCAGGGTTGTGAGATTGAGCCCCATGTTGGGTTCTGCTGCTCAGCGGGGAGTCTGCTTGAGATTCTCTCTCTTCCTCTCCCTCTGCCCTCCCCCACCCCAGCTCACATGCATGTTCCCTCTAAAACTAAATAAATGAATAAATAAATAAAAAATAAAATATATATGTTTCTTTTAGGATCTAAAGTATTTAAATCTCTTAAATTACTGTTTTTGAGAAGACATGCTAATTAACTCATTCTATCTTATGGATAGGATAAGTTACCTCAACTTGGCTCTGGTAATTATGCTTTTCGCTTCTTCAAAGGATACACCAATCAGAGATTCCTTGTTTATTGAGACAAGTTGATCTCCTGGCTTCAAACGTCCATCCTAACAAAAGTAGTAATATATATAAAGAAACTAATAATGATGGTGTTTAAAAAAAAAACAAAAACAACTAATTGATGCAACTAAACCAAAGAAAAATTTTAGGGAACAGTCTCTTAAAGAAGGAGTAAAAAGAAAATGTTGGACAAAAAACCTCAATTGCAAAAAGTTTTGACTAAAGCCTGGTTTGCTTACATGCATGAATGAAATATGTTCATGTATATGCAAGCTCAATTTGCACACTAAGGAATCCTGAAGACATAGCCCAGTACAGCAGGAAAAGACCGATTTTAAAAGCTTGGTACTGGGGTGCCTGGGTGGCTCTGTTGGTTAAGCATCTGCCTTTGGCTCAGGTCATGATCCCAGGGTTCTGGGATCGAGCCCCGTGATGGGCTCCAGCCCCGTGATGGGCTCCCTGCTCGGGGGGAAGTCTGCTTGTCCCTCTCTCTCCACCCTCTCGTGCTTGCTCTATCTCTCTCTCAAATAAATAAAGTCTTAAAAAAAGATTGGTACTATGAGACAGATACAGCTCTGATTCTGTGATAAAGTAATTCTAGAATATTTCAGAATATAAGGCTCATTCACTTTAGTTTCTAAGCATTCCTACATCTCTCATCCCACAAAATTGGTAAGGTTGATTCCACAGTAAGACTTCTAAAAATTCAGTCAAAGATCTTAATTATATTGATTCTATTTCAGCTCTCTACTGGATCTGCTGGACTGCCTGTGACTCAGGCGTAGCTGGGCTGCCTGTACATACATCTTTAGTCAAGTCCTACTAAAGATGACCACTTATAACCAGCTTCCTTACACTGTCTGCTAAGACCTGGCTCTGGCTGTAACCAGCCTAACTGGATCAGACAGAGCCTACTGATTACAAGATTTAATGGATTTGTTAGGCAAGTTTCCCAGTCTTCACCTGTCTTTTTTTCTCAATTCAAACTGGAAAAGAAGAATGAGCGCTCTTCATTTTCAGTTCCTAAGACTTGTCTCAATTATCATTTACACAAAGACAGAAAGCAATATTTATGTAACTGGGGAAGAAGCTTATAATGGTTAAAAAGCTGGATTTTCACCCCAATGGCATTTAAGTAAATTCCACAAATTCAAGGAAATATCTTTCTTCAAAGTCATATTTAAGATATATCCCTTGGATAACTGATCTTTGATCTGAACTTAATCACATGCAATAATGGTGATTTATGGTTACTTTACAACTAAATAACAATAGTTTTTAAAAAAAAACAAATTTTTAAAAATTATTTATTTATTTTAGAGAGAGAGCATGAGGGGCGGGGGAATAGCAGAGGGGAAAAGAATCTCAAGAAGATTCCACACTGAGCGGGAGCCCAACAGGGCTGGATCACATGACCCTGAGATCATGACCTGGGTGGAAAACAAGGTCAGAAACTTGACTGACTGTGCCACCCAGGTGCCCCCTAAGTGTCTTTTTAAAAAACAAAAATAACTATTGAGGGACACCTGGGCGGCACAGTCAGTCAAGCACCCCACTCTTGGTTTTGGTTCAGGTCGTGATCTTGGGGTCATGAGACCAAGCCCCACATTTGGCTCCACACTCAGTGTGGAGTCTGCTTAAGACTCCCTCTTCCTTTGCCCCTCCCCCTGGTCCCCCCCCTCAAATAAACAAATCTTAAATAAAAATAAAAAGACACTGCTATCTCTTACATTGAATACTGAGTACACAGGAAGATAAATAAACATAAAATATCAAAAAAAGTTATTTCAAATACTATGTAAAAGACACTATCATCCAAATGCATAATGACTCTATGACCCTTCTAAATTACAAACATTATTTAAAAAATTAAACTTAAGGGCGCCTGGGTGGCTCAGTTGGTTAAGCGACTGCCTTCGGCTCAGGTCATGATCCTGGAGTCCCGGGATCGAGTCCCGCATCGGGCTCCCTGCTCAGCAGGGAGTCTGCTTCTCCCTCTGACCCTCTTCCCTCTCGTACTCTCTCTCTCTCATTCTCTCTCTCTCTCAAATAAATAAATAAAATCTTAAAAAAAAATAAAAAAAATAAAAAATTAAACTTAAAAGGAAATTTGATTTTATAAAATACATAAAATTTGGAAATTTATATTTTATAAATATAACTAGCAAAGTCAGAGAACATAACACAATTGCTATATTCACAAGCGATTTTTTTCCCCCTTCCACTGATTAATGTATGAGGAGTAAAACATAATAGTCATGCTGGAAAAGATTAAGCAGTATGGAGAGAGTATCCACCATATGGACCCTACATGTTCAGTAACATGAGAAAGCTGATTTTGTAAAATTTTGTAAACACAGTTCTATATCGCTGGGCCCAAACCTTATTACAGAGTTTGGTTACATATGCATTTAAATCAACTCTACCCAGACATACTTCGACACTCACATACATTAGCTTACAATTTAATATGTGAAAATTTTAGTTTCAGGACAGTTATCTACTCAAAGTTAAGATGAATTGGCAACAAACAAGAGAAACAACCTTTTTGCCACAGGCAAAAAGATAAGGTTAATAATTGGGAGAATGAACAAAATCCCAGGGTGCTTATTTCCAGGAGGAAGGGTGGGGAATGTGGGGGATGTGATCAGGAATGCCTCAGTAGCACTGAAGACTTTCTACTTTTTAAGTCAAGTGGTGAATTCTAAGCAGATTCACAGGTGTTCATTCTATTATTATGCTTCATTTACATGTGTCAACTATCACATTATAAAAAAGAAAAGAGGGGCGCCTGGTTGGCTCAGTAGGTAGAGTTTGCAACTCTTGATCTCAGGGTCATGAGTTCAATCCCTGTATTGGGCATGGAGCCTACTTAAAAAAATAAAATAAAATAAAATAGATAAAAATTCTCCATCTCCCAAAATAAAAAGAGCTCATAACATCTGCCCAGAAATTAACTAGCTGAATTATGTTTTGGTTCTATATTCCAAAACAGGTACTGGAAGTAAGGGTCAAATGGAGAAATTTTTAATCTAATTTTAAAATAAGTAAATTAATAAATAAGAAAAATTAAACAAATGTCATTATTAAATCCAGCTCTAGACCATTTGGAATCTACAAAATAGTTCCTTACTAGAATCAGCTTAATAAGGTAGATTACAGCTGAAATTTAATGGCTATACTACTATTGACTTGTATCACAAAGCCTGGCAACAATTTAGGGGAAAAATGGAGAAAATGAAGAAAGCCCTGTTTCACTGGAGCAAAGCATATAAAGGACACTAACAAGGAAAGAAAGGATTTTTTAGAATCGGGGTGGCCGACAGGTTATAACAGTAAATACTGTCAGATGACAATTCTTTCAACTGGGCAGGAGCCTTCAGAGGCAGTGGACAGAAGGGGAAAGAGCAGGGGGTCTGGCAGCCAGACAGACCTAAATACAAACTTGAGCTCTACAACTTGCTAGCTAGATGGTCATCAACAGATAGAGGGAGAGGAAAGGGGCTGGGGGAGGCACATAATCTCATCCATGAGAAACACAGAATTACATTCAAAACTATTTGAGGAAGCTCCTGTGTCCATGCGTCTCATACAGACCACAGCTGGCTGTGAGGGCTGCAGAGAAAAAAGCTACAGAAAACAGATGTAGGCGATAGGGTTTCGGCAGATGTATTATCTCCCACTCCTCCTCTCAGACCGTACAGTTATTAGCAACACAGAGGGAAAAGCTCTCATGAACACAATATAGCGTATCTTATATTAAAGCACACTGATGCATTGAAGGAGCATTTTTGGGGTGCCCACGTGGCTCAGTCAGTTAAGCGTCTGCCTTCGGCTCAAGTCATGATCCCAGGTGTCGGGCTCCCGGCTCAGTGGGGAGTCTGCTTCTCCCTCTCCCTCTGCCCCTCCCAACTGCTCATGCTCTGTCTCTCTTGCGTGCTGCGCACTCTCTCTCAAATAAATTAATAAAATCGTAGGGGGAAAAAAACAAATTGAAGGAGCATTTTCCAGTAGGAAAAAGAGAAGAGAGGAAGAATAATGCCTTCTGATGGTGAATTCTGGTGTTTATATATTTTTTCTTTCTAAAAAGTATTTATAGTGTTTTTTTTTCTTTGCCTCCTAGAATAAGATCTTAGCTGATCCTGTGAATTTCTGAACCTGTTTAAAAGTCCTGCGAACTCAAAGGTATTTCTTTAAGAGTCGGGCATTCAAGCCAGTGAGTCCTGCCCCAGTTGGATGAATATATATGTGAAAATACTAGCTTTGGGGACATGCCACGGCCTCTTCCACACTGTCTGGGTTCAGATACGGCAGTTAAGGAGCAACTGTACAACACTTTCACGTGCCTACCTTCAGAGTCTGCTTTTCTTCCCGTTGACATTTACAAAGACGTTGAAAGTGATAACGTATGCCTGACCATTTAAACGCTTCTCTTGAAAACTACCAGCGCTGTTCATTTATAATGACCATTATATAGTTTTCTAAATAACATATTACCATATTACCATACCATCTACACGGCCTGACTCTGATTTAACTAACTCGTTAGTCCTAAATACTAAGGAATGCTCCTGCAAGATTCCTGGTTCCTTTCTCACACTTTCAGAAACTGTCAACTTCTTCTATTGCCTGCCAGTTATTAACGTGAATTTAGACAAGTTGCTTAATCTCTATGAGACTTCATCTTAGCTGTAAAGTGGAGATAAATACCTGTCACACAAGGCTGCTATTAGTAATTAAATGACATACATAAATTCTACAAATTCTAAAATTGTAGGTGTTAAATAAAAGTGAGTTGCATCAAAATTCCATGCCTGCTGTAATTTTCACATTGATAGCAAATTTAATACTGTTACTCCTCAAATTAAGAACCTTTAGGGATGCTTGGGTGGCTCAGTCGGTTAAGTGTCCAACTCTTGATTCAGCTCAGGTCATGATCTCAGGACTCCACGCTGGGTATGGAGCCTGCTTAAGATTCTCTCTCCTTTTTCCCCTAATTCCCCTCTCTCAAACACCAACAAAACAAAAACAAAACCAAAACCATTTA